GTTAGTTATGGGGGTCTCGGAAACAGGTCTTTTTATTTCATTTTATACTTTTATTAGTAATAGCTGGAGGCTCCCGAACAAACAAGCTTTACCTAAGATGTTTCTGTTACCTCATCATACCCAAGGGTCATTAAACAGACACAAAACCTTGTCCAACAGGGGTAATCTGCTTGTGGCGGTCAGCACCGTGTATCTGTACAGTCAGATCTAGTCGCCCACAGACATTTTGCCAGACTTCTGCGGAATGCATGGTACTCTGCCACTCTGTGCTCTGAAGCTGTATGTTACTATGTCTCACAGAGTTTAGCCTGTCTCCATGTTGGACTCCTTCAAGCCCACAGGGAACATTCAAAGTCTTTCTTCACATCTCTAACCTAGATGCCCAGAGTCTCTCTAGCTCTTGGCGTTATTGTACCCCACATCCACTCTGGTTTACGTAAGCTCCTACGTCTTTCCTGCAGGTGCTCCTCTTCCTACACTCCCTCCACCCTGGCTCTCTCTTCTTCCTGGCGTGAAGCTTGTATGAATTCTGGTACTGGGAAGAAGCTCTTTTTCTCTTCTGCGCACATCTTGAGGTACCCCCCCCCCAAGATCTCCAAGTGCTCCCATCATGCTCTTCGCCGGCTCAGAGAGGAAGCAAGGAGAGCCAGCATCCGGGCTTTTACTTTTGCCTGTGAGTAGACATCATCTATTACCCCCTCCCAAGAAACAGCCTTCTCCCAGTCATTTTGTGCTCTTAATCCTGCTTCCCCCACTATCAATACATCACAGAACTAAGTTCTCAGCGTTTCAAGGCACCCATGCACACTTGTCCCCTTAGCTACAAGCCCCTTCGACGACACGTGACTTCACTGTCATTTTAATATTGGTGTTACACTTCGAGCATGAGTTATCCCACAAATGCTGCAGGAATGCTGGGAATTTGGTTGGCAGGGGGTGACAAGGTCCCGAGGGCTCTGACCTAATCAGTGACTATTTTCTGGACAGTGTGATCAGATGGTGGCACCATTGCGAACTAGTGGAGGCTAAAAGGTGGGGGCTGGTTGGAAGAAGCCAGCCACTGTCAGAGGTGAGTGTGTTTTTGACATTTTTACTCTTTCTCAGCTTCCTGTTGGACATGCATTGAGCCCCCCTACTCCCCTATGTGCCCCTCACCATGATGCTTTGTCTCAGAATGTGCCAGAAGAGGACCTGGGATGGGAACCTCTGAAACTCAAGCAAAACAAATCCTTCATCATCCCTCAGGTGTCCCACACCAACCACTCATGAGACACTATTAGGGATGTAGGGACGAGTGGTTAGTGGTTAGAGAGAAGGGCAGTGACATAAGTAACAGGTCTGGTGCAGTCCAAACTTTACAGCAACACGAAGCATTAAACACCACCCTAATTACACCACCCCCAAGCAGCCCAAGCGCTCGCTGGTAGAAAGAGTGGTTGACAACTACTCTCTAAACTTCTATATGAATCCGGTCACAGCTTTAAAGATTAGCACAAGGGCTGGAGAGCTGGCTCAGTGGCTAAGAGCATTTGTTATTCTTGTAGAGGACCTGGGTTCAGTTCCCACACAGTTCCAGGGGATCCAATGACCTCTTTGACTTTCACAGGCATCAGACATACACATGGTGCACCCACATACATAAAAGTAAAACACCCATACATATAAAACTAAATAAATAAACCAAAAACTGAGCAAAAAGAAGAGAAATACATGGTTTATGTTATTGTTACCTTAACTATCTTACTTTGGTCTCTTAGGAATAGAGTCTTGAACCAGGAGTTTGAGGCTAGAAGGGTCTACATACAGAGTTCTAGAGTAACCAAGGGATACATAATGAGAAAGAAAGAAAGAGAAAAAGAAAGAAGCAAAGAAAAGCAGGAAGGCAGGAAGGGACAGAAGGAGGGAGGGAGAGAGGGAAGGAGAGAGGGAGGGAGGAAGGAAGGAAGGATGGATGGAACACTGAGAATTGCCGTGCATGTACTGAATTTGGTTAATTTTCTGTTCAAGTAGAAAGAACATTAGAAAGAACGGTAGATGTTAGAATAACAAGACTGCCATTTGGATAATGGTTACAGATCAGCAAATACACAGGGTTCAATCTATTTTTTTAAAATGATTTGCGTAATTCCCATTCTTTATCTTTCCCTCTATAAATTATTCAAGGTAAGGCTGCAGAGGGCCAGCCCTTTGATCACAGAGTTCCATCTGTGCTTTTTTAAATCAAAATAGCACTGAGCCGTTTTAATCCATTCACCTACTGTAGTATATCTTTGGGGCGGGGTGGGGGGAGGAAACAAAATGGTAAAGGACAGAAAAATCAGGCAAACTTGTTCACATGATCACCGTCCCTTCGTGTAATTCAAAACACATGCTCATCATTTCAGAGAAGTAGAAGGGAGTGGTGGGCATAGTCACGCAGAGCTGGGAGGTGTCTATAACATCAGCACAGGGGTTTGTTTCCAGGCAACCATGTAGAAGCCAGGGTAGCACATGTCTGGAACCCAGCCAGATGTTGAGCTCATCTCAAAAACTAGGGTGGAGAATGGTATACAAAGATGCTTAATGTTGCTCTTTGGCCTTTTGCTCATGGCCAACATGTATACCTATACATATGTTACACACATACGTCACATATACATGTGTTACACACATACATGTCACACACATACACACAGGTTACACAACACACATGTTACACACATGCATCATATTTACTACACACATACATGTTATACACATACACATAGGTTACACAACGCACATGTTACACACATGCATCATATATACTACACACATACATGTTATACACATACACGTAGGTTACACATGTTATATATGCATTACAAACACTACACACATGCATGTTGCATACATATACACATGTGTTTTACACACACACACACACACACTTATAAAACAGAGTTACAGAATAGGAGAAATAGGGCAGATCTGATAAATTACGGCTTGGGAGGCTGGGAGTAGCATCCCTGGCTTTCTTGTGTCTCCTTTGTTCAGTGCCCAGGATTTTCATTGCTATCAAGCATCGTGAATATATTTGTCCAAACGACAAAGTGGAACCCTGGTTTTGTGATCTACAACAGACCCACTTTCAGTGTTTTTAAAGATCCAAAACTATTAAATCAAGGATGTAACCTAACTTTCTCACTTATGACACTGACAACCGTCAAAGAATTATTCCCATGTTTTTTTCTAGAGGATGTAATTGACCACTTTTGATAATTACCATGAGCTAGACTGTAGAGTTTATGTGTTTTTCTTCTTTTCCTGACAGTGGACTGTGAAATGAATTTTAAAGTGGAAATGAAATGTCAAATCTCTGATGTCACTTGTGGAGAGGAGAGACTTAGCCGTGTTCTTGCCTCTTAGTCACTGACTCATATAATTCCTTCCCAACCTCTTGTTCTAGGAACCCCACTCGCGTGTACTTGGCAGCCAGCGTGTAAATCTCAGGATTCGAGATGCCACACGTTTCTCCTCCCGCCCCACATACTGCCTTGCCAGAATTTCACAGGGAAAACAAAAAAAATCATGCTCATCCTCTTAGGAGACAGGAGCATCCTGTTCTCCACCAGAGGAGGCAGCCCTTTCTTCTCTGAATCTGAGCAGAAGGCAGGTCCTTTTTTCTAACTCCAGCATGGTTAGAGGGGAGCCTATTACCTTGTCTGAAGTGGTAGAACGAGACTCTACACCCAGCCTAACATTCTACTAGCTCAGAGATCAGAGATTAATTGGTTATACTTTTAATTCAAATTCTGAAATTCCTTTGAAGTTCAGTGCAGGGGAGGGGGGGCAGACAGGGGGGGCGAGGAGGAGGGGTTGAGCAAGAGAGCAAGCAAGAGAGTGACACAGAACTGATGACCAAGTTTTCTTTCCCACATGCCTTGCCTTCTTAGGGTACCTGAGCCAAGCACTAGCAATTCCAGGTAGTTCCATCATTTATGTAATGGGGCGTTTCTGCTAAGTCAGAAATTGAATCTTTTAATCTTGAACACGCTGGCACTCCTTAAAGGTCTTTCACATAATGCAGGAGATAATTAAACGCCTCTTACGTGGGAGTTAAATTTGGGGAGAATGGGTAAGGTTAAGCCAAGCTCATGTTTAAGTGTTTAATACAACGGCTCTTTTCCAAAAAGACTTTGTATGAACAGCTTTGAGAAGCTTGAGAAAGCACTTCTCCACATGACACTTAAAAAGCTTAGTAACTTGTGCTCTGGACAGGAGGACAGAGAGGCACGACCAGGTGTGTTACACAGCCTTCTAACTCTTGTGGACTCATGTAGAGTCACATGGATGCCCAGCGGAGGCAATTAGTGCTAACTTTTAGTTTATAGCCACATGGGCTCATGTGTTCCTATGTCTCCACGTTCTTGTATCACCATGTAATTCCACCCAGTCCAACAATAACGTGCAGGATGCTGTCACGTACTGAGCACTTGTCAGGCTCTCAGTGAAGAGTTTTTGGGTTTTGGATTCCAGGTGGACAATGAGGTGGAATGTTCTTTTGGGTAAGAGTCTTGCTAGAAGAGCTTTTAAGGTCATAAGACAGCAGCATGGTGGGGCTCTCAGGAGAGTTCAGGCCCACATGGTAGAGTGAGGGACCCTTCTTACTCTTTTTAGAATAAGGGAGAGTTTCTTCAGCTGGTGACTTATGGGAAGCCCAAACATGCTTGTAGTCAAGCTGTCTCTGATTCCTGGTAGGCACAGGGTAGGTGAGGGTTTCTGTTAGCCTGGGGCCTGTGTGTAGAGGTAGCTATGGGGGCGGGGAGGGCAAGAATCTAGAATAAGTTGCTTTGACTCTAGGAACCAAATCACTTTTAGTTTCAGGAATCGTTTTTATGCAACTGAAATGAAAAGAGCTTTACAAAATGGCATGGCCATGGCCGACACTAAAGACATAGGCTTATGACAGATGGTGTTTTAAAGCCAAGTAAGCAAGTACACTATTCCAACATCGGCATGCCAGCTTTTGTTAATCTTACCTGAAGGATCTTATCCCCGGGCTGTAGTAGGTTGGATGCTGGTCCATCAGGCTGAACCCTAGTAACAAAGATACCCTATAAGTCAGAAGTGACAGAGGTTAGGAGCTTGTCACCAACAAGTCAGTGTACTTAAATACATTTCCATTCATATAGAAAACAACAGCTTTAAAAAATATCACAGTTCACACAAGCAAGCTTTACAAGGGCTACAGTATTTTAAGTTAGAACACTGTTCTACAGAGGCAAGTCTAAGGAAAAATCGCACATTAACATAAAGATCACCTTGCCTTTATTAAGTACAACTGCAGTCTCTCTACCAACCTCACAGTCACCGATAGAAACGCCTTTTGTATAAATGCTAAATTTTTCCAGAACTACTGGTGCAGGATGTAATCCCAGCACTTAGTCGGCTGAGGCAACTAGGGCTACACAGTGAGTTCCAGGCAGTCTGGGCTGTAGTGTGAGACCCTGTCTCAATAGTGAGCAAGTGAACAGATAAACAAATAAAAGACAAATCAAACCAGCCGACTAAACAACAAAAACCTCAACCACCACAACAAAAACACCCTTGCCAAATGTAGTTGGAAAATGGAAAACTTTTTGATGGAAAAGAAAGACGAGTTGTTTGAAAAGACAGGTGGGTGAGATGTAGTGATGGCTTCCCTGGTCACTGGGGGCAGCTGAGTTGTGATGACAAACACAGACCATGCAGTTACTTCCTCCTTGGTCCAGCAGCTTGCATGTACCATCTACCCAGGAGACTGCTACTGATTTTAGTTAGCAACCTCTGGAAGCCTCCCTCCTCCCTACTGTGCTGTGACAGGCAGAATGACAGTATTGCCCCAAACAAGCCACTGTGTCTCTGGCTCTTGAGGCGAAGTTTTGACTCTTATTTCATCCTGGCCTCTAGCAAATGCCACTCAGGTGACGGCCCCCCCCCCAGTCACCTCTATTCAACTCTCCGAGCAGTGACAGTTTAATAAGGTTTGAGTAAATCCAAACCACAGGGGCTAAATTACACAGTCACATCCACAGACCTGGAGACCTCACAGTGCAGAGCCTGGCTGCTTGGCAGACATGAAAGTGGCATTTGCTTAGTAGCAGCGTCGTGACTGCAGGATTCAATCACTGTTCTGTGTGTTTGCTCTGAAGCTGACTTTTATGGTGGCCTGAGCTTTCTAAAGCCTTTATTGCTGTTTTCTTAAGACCTATTACCTATTTCCAGTCAATGCATTTCATGAACTAAGATGTCTCCATGGCCCTTAGCTCTCTTCTCTCTGTGTGTTCCGGCGTACGGCCATGCTAGTGAAACCAGTGATCCGTGTGAGCGTCTTGTGATACCAGTCTTGTTATTTGTGTGCTATTCCCCAAAGATTGCCTCAGGATCCCGGTGCCTCAGTGCTCCACTGCTTGGGAAAGACTCTTACTAAATCCAAACCAATCATAGTCTCCGTGACAGTGGGATCGATCGAAGATGAAAACAGCGACAATGTGTCATCTTTCAACAACTCATTTTGCTCTGCAACTTGAAAGAATATTTGCCGTTGGCGGGGAATCATCAGACTTTTGTATTAGAAACTTAGGTGAATAATGTTCTTTCTGGTTAAAAAATGTATCTCCTAAGTTTCTGGAACGTCAGGAAAACCATTTGGTTGGCACCTTAGCAACTCATAGCATTGCTGGGAGGATCTGGGCATTCTCAGATTCTGACATGTGCCAGAGTGTGAAATGAGCTGCAAGCTATCAAACAATACATTAGAACAACACATTGATGTCCCACCATCTGGAGTTGCAGCCAAACCATCTCACCCCAGGAAGGTACCCCCACCCCTATCACCCCCTGTCTCTATTGCATTGAACAATATGCATTTGACGTTTTACTGCAGCTATAACAAATCACCACAGAATTGGTGACTTAAAACACCACCAAGTTTATCATCTCACAGTGCTGAGGTTCTAACCCTGCTGTCACTGGACCAAAGCAGAGGCACCGGGAGAACTGTGCTCTGCGAATGGTCTTCTTGTGGAGGAGTCACTGTCCCATCTTTTCCAGAGCAGCTTCTAGGAATGTGTAGATTCTTGGATGGTGGCCTCCTCTTTGTTTCTTTCTTCAAAGACATCATGGACCATTTCTGTGATGACGTTTTTTTCCCTCCCACCACAGCCGGGGGAGATTTCCTACCTCCAAGGACCCATCTGGATAATTCAGGGTAATCACATCTCAAGACTGTTAGTCATCACATATTCAAAGTCCTCTTTACTTTGTAACATGCTGTATTAATGGGTTCTGGACATTAGAATGTGGCCACATTTGGGGAATCATATTTTCTGTCTGGTATACTGTAGCCACAGTCAACACTGCTCTGGTGTTGGCCTTCTCTGTGTAACAGTTACAAACCAGCAAGTCCATTTTTAGATACATAATGTTTCTTCATTAGTGAAATGCATATAAAATGGCACATAAGAGAGAGAGAGCTGTCTTAAGTGGGCAGATGCTTATAGAATACCTGGGATAGTAGAACATTCCATAGATAATCAATAACTAATACTATAATTTTTGAAGGAATTGAGGGTTTTACCTAGCAAAGCCCACATTGAGACAATTCTAGACTGACTGGCCAAAGCTTATTTCTCTCAGTGAGCATATTAAAAACTAACATTCGTCATCTTTACTTGAATCCTACAGGTAAAGGGATTAGCTTCTCTTACATTGAGAAGGAATGCTGGAAATGCTCATCTTTGACTCCTTATGGTGGCTCCTTGTGACAATGGTTCCAACTCGCTATTGGCCATGAAGGACCCAGGTTCTATCTGGGAAGCCTTCCAGTGGTTCTTGATAACTTTCAAAAGCTCTTCTTATGGTGGTTACAAGACCAAATCATCAGCCTCTTCATATGGCTGACAGAATCTGCTCTAGTTTACGGCATCTCCAATTATGTTGTCTAATGTCTCTCACCTAATGATTCTCCTGTGGTTCCTTAGAGACTCAGACACATGGTTTATCTTGGTACCCTCCAAGATGCTGTCTCATAGCAGAGCAACATCATGGGTGCTATAACATTCTTTCCAAAGACTGAATCCTTGTTCTTTGCAGATACTAACATTGGGGTATATGTGACATTGACTTAGATCCCAAAGAGTCATGTGTCAGAGAGCACTATAGATTCTTAATATCGCTAATCAAGTTAGTGCCAGCTGGCTGCTCCATGTGATATGACTTGTTACCACATAATTTTAATAATGTGTGTGTGTGTGTGTGTGTGTATCTGCTTGTGGTATGCGTAAGAGCTGTCAGAGACCTGGAGCATTAGATCTTCGTGGCTCACAGGTGACTGTGAGCCACCTGACATGGACGCTGGGAACTGATCTTGGGTTCTCTGCAAGCAGTATGTGATCTTAATCACTAAGACTTTCCAGCCCCTATATTTGCATCCTGGGTTAAAATTTTGTCTATTTGTAGGTTATATGACTCTTCAGGAAACATCCATAATGAACAGGCTTATGATGTGAAAGCATTTTCTTTTCCCATGTACTTTTGCAAAATGGTGAGTTGGGATTTCTCAGTGTTAAGGTCTGACCTTTTCTGGTTATCTAGCCTCTTTGGCACCTCTGAACACAAACCACGGACCTACCAAGTGAAGTCTGCAAGGCCAGCACTTCCCATTCTAACTTTAGAGGAGAGAGGAACTTTATGTGTTTTTTTTTTTAATGATGAAGGTGAATGACTGTGACAGTCTCAGCTATTGTCAACGTAGACACAAAAATAGAACGAGTCTTAAGGGACCTGCAGCCTCAATGCATGAAATACTTTTTTTTTTGTAAAACTCCCCAAAGTGTTACCTTTAGTTACTGCTTGGAAAATGGTTTCTAGGAAATCCACATCTCAAGCAAAAATTATATGTTATAACTCAGATTATTTTATTTATACATCAAATATTTTAGAATATAGTATCTCATGGATTCCTGTTAAGTATGAAAGTTCAGAGAGGGTTTCCAGAGAGAAAATGATTCAATAAAGTAGCAAACAGAACTGGGCCTACAATAGTGTTTCAGGGGATACTGTCTTCTCTCCAGAGAAGGGCTAAGTACCAACTTCCTCCATAAAGCAGGCAGCATTATTTACTTCCATTGAGGCTTCTAGGAATAATGTGAGATCACTCCACAGCATAGCTTCTGTAGTGGCTGGAACCGATACCCCAAGGACAAAGACATCAATGATACTGTGTGATGGCGAGCTCTCTTACAGTTTGATTGCTATGTGTCAGGTCTTAGGCCTTGAACAATCTGCTGCCTTAGGAACAGAAGAATTCACATGGAGCAATGAAAAGAGATCTGTTCCATGGCCGTTAGAAACCAAGAAGAAAGGAGGCCAAGATGGGGGGAGTCTGAAAGAAGGGAAAGGAAGAGAAAGAGGAATTACACCAGCAGCTCAATAGAGTGCTTCTGGGCTATCCCCGAGCCTCATTCCCCACACAGGGAAGCTTAAGATTCACGAAAGACTGTGATGGGAACCAGCAAGATGGCTCAGCAGGTAAAGGTGTCTGCCACCAAGTCCATAACCTGAGTTTGATCCCTAGACTCGCATGGTGGAAGGAGGGAACCGGCTCCCCCAAATTGTTCTCTGACCTCCACATGTGTGCCACGCGCACACACACACACACACACACACACACACACACACACACACAAATGCAGTAATAATAAAAGACTTAATCTGTCTCACAGATAATCACTCAAGAGATTCAAAGGGTTGTTTTCAATGCTGTCTATTTCTTGGTGAAAACTTTGAGCTGAGAACAGTTTCCTTCAGTACTGTCTCAAAGTCAATGATCATTTCCATACTGTCTGGTCCAGATCTCTGGTTTCTAGGGAGATGGGGGTAAGGGGGAAGCTTCCACTAGTATTATCTTTTGAGACCTGCATAGCTGGTGTTTACTATGAGACTTCGACGGTGGTGGAAATTTGGGCTGCTCATGTTTGCACAGATCGCTGATTCTGTCTAAGCCTCGAATGGCTCCAGGAACTACTAAAGACAGAAGGTAAATAGAAATGACTGTAGAGTCTTCTCCAAGCTC